AGCTACAAGGTGGTAATGAGTATATAGAGGGGAGAGATAGGCGTTGTGTAGGAGAGCGGCCAGATTTCGGCTAAATTATTCTTGGCAGGACAAAACTTTTGTGAGGCACCTCCGTACAGGCCAGCCCATCGCCCATCACCAGCCAAGGCAGACTTGTATGCACACACACACACACACACACACACATACATAACACATATACATATACATGTCTAGGTACAATCGTAATATTCCGCTGGCCGTAAACCCTCGTGACCATCATGCCGCATCCCAACATGCAAAAACACTACATGTGCCGCCCACGGCCTATCTCAAATTATACATGCACCCTCTCGACATCTCGCCAAGCCCTCCCAGTCCTCTCTTATCATGCCCCGTTCACATCGTCAGACATTGCCGTCACTACGTCCCTCGTGCCACCTGCCCTCTGGGTCCATCTCGAGCCCCAGCCAGTGCCTGTGTGCATCCAAGTCGCTTGTTGATCTGCAAAGGAGCTACTGCGCGGGCCGGACGGCCTAGGTCGGATCTCATGTCCTCTTGGTCCCGGAATTACATGCACACTGAAGCCGCCACCATGTCTACCACTAGTCGTCCATGGGCTTGTCCTCCAGCGTCACGCCCCGCGGCGCCGTGTCTTCGCTCTTCAAGCTGCCCGTCGAGTCTCGGTTGCCTCTCGTCAAGCTGCCAGCATGCTTCCGAGGGAAAGGTACCCGAGTGCTTGAGGGGGCGGGGTGCTCGGCGGGTGCGGGAGCAGCCTCGGTGCTGCCGTTCGTCGTCGACGGAGTCACTTCGTTGGTCGAACTGTCGTCGCTTCCAGGCACTTCCAAAGATCCGCGGTTGCCGTTGGTCTTTCGCGAATCCGTCGGCGATGATGTGTTGACCGGGAATCGAGTCTGGCTTCGATCACGGCGGTGAGAGCCCGAGATGCGCGAGTTGGGCGCTGGTGACGTTGCCCGCGGTGATCGCTGGGCCGCAATCGCGCGCTGTCGCTCCTCCATGTTTGCCCGGCGGTTGCTCTCATCTGTCGAGATTGCCCGTGGCCGCTGGGCGCCAGACGCTGAGTGTGTAAGCGTACTGGCACGCTTGAGTTCTCCGAAAATGGCATCCTTGTGCGCAAACAAGTCGCGCACCAGGCGGTAGCTGTATCGTTCATTCATCGTCAGACTCGAGTCTTGCTTGGGCCTCAGAATGCATGGCGCCAGTACATTGGCCAGTGCCGCGACGTACGTCTCGTCAGCCGACGTGAGCTCAATGAGACGAGTAAAGTGTGTGCAGATGGCGTCAAGTGTCGCGATATTAGCCAGACGCAGTTGGCCAAGTGTCGACTGAATAACAGAGATCCTCGTCTCTTCGGTTACGTCCGAAGCAGTCGTGCTGTAAATGGTCTTGACGATCTCGTAAACATGCGAAGAAACCAAAGAATCTAGTCAAATCAGTAAACAAGCCCAAACATGGACCATGTAGCACGTACCAGGAAGTTCAAGAAGATAGAGTTTAAGAACGCTGGCAACAATCGGCACGTCGTACTTCTCCAGTAACTCATCCGGGAACCTTTTGCCGGTGTTGATCTCGGATCGCAGGTTATGGGTTTGGGAGAGAGCCACGTCGACAAGCCAGATGCCCCGGCGGGCTTCGTCGCCCTCGAGGTCAGGGTAATGGTTATCCAAGAAAGTAAGAATGGTCGTTATGATTACGGGCACGCGCTTCTTGTCTGAGCGCGCCCGAGCCTCCAAATCTACACCAAATGTTTGTTCTGCGCATTGTCAGTATATGGTGGTAGATGGAACTTTAGAGTACCGTACCATCCACAGAGTTGTAGTAGTTCTCGTAAGTCGTGACTCTCGGCACAAAGGGCCCTGTCCTGTAGTTCTCCAGCATGTACCGGAGATCGCCCAGCGGCTGGACAGTCTCCTGGAAAAGCATCATCTTGTCGACGGTGCTCTGCAAGCTAGGGATGACGTTGCTCACGGCACCGGAAAAGTCCAAGATGACCGCCTTGATGGCCTTGAGCCTATCCAATTCGCAGCGCTCCATGAATTTGAGATGGTCCACCATGGCCTCTTCCAGGTTGCAGCGCAACGAGTCGAGCTTCTTCACCGACGCCTTGTATCGCTCATCAGCTTCCCGAGCCTCTCGCCTCAGCCTTTCTGCTGGGGTCTCGTTGGGGTATTGGTTGTTGAGTGGGTTCCATCCCTGTAGGTACTCTTGCACGGTTCCGACAGGAGAGTCGACGGCGATGCTGTCGGCGGATGAGTTTGACATGGTAGTCGACGAACGAGCCATGGGCTGCTTCTTCTCGGGCAGCCCAGTCACCTGGAAAGCCTTGGTCTTCCATTGGTAGTTCATTCGGGAGCTGTTTGCGAACGTGTTGCCGACGTTGCCAACCAAACGCAGGAAACCGTGTGTCACCAGGTCTTGACCGATGCGCTCGGCGTAGCTCACGGTGGTGGCGTTCATGTGCTTTTGGATGTATTCGGTGATGTCGGCACCAGTCGAGCAGTTCTGGTAGGTGCCCAGAATCGGGACCTTGACCTCGCCGAGTTTGATATTGTCCAGCATGTGCGTCAGGATCTTCTTGAGCTGGTCCGGCTGGTACGTCTCGTCGCCAAGATCAATGGGCTCCTCCTCGTCCTCGTCGGGCTCGGACATCTTGATGGTGGGCACCTTCACCTTTGGGCTCTGTGCGGCTTCGCTCTGGGGGTCCTGGAACGCGAGCTTGTCCTCTTCCTCGAGATCCTCCACTAGGCGGCACTTGTTGTAGTATTGCGAGCGGTACTTGCGAACAGCGTCGGCCTGGCGGTCGTGGAGCTTGATGCGCGCCTGGAGGTCATCCTGCGAGTTCTGCACGCGGGCGGCGTGTGCCTCGCACCAGCGGCCAAAGGGATTCACGACAAGCTCGCGGATGTTGGATGCAATCTTCTTGTGGTTTGCGGCGGCGGCCTCCATCTCGGTGCGCACACCTTCGTAGGCCTGGCAGCGGGTTAGCCCTCTGGGTTGCGCAAGCACAGTGCCCCACCGACCTTTCGCACGCTTGCGCCCTCATCTCTGCTGAAGCCCCCGGCTATGCGATCCGTGGCTGGTGTAATGGCCGACAGCGAGTTTCCGTAGACCTCCTCGGCATCTGCCCGCATGCGGGCAACGGTCAGGATCTGCTGGTTCTCCTGCACTCCCTGCTGGAGCTTCCCAAAGAGAACGCCCAGGCCTGCAAGGTCAGCATGGGGGTGCGAGGTGGTGGGAGGTGGGTGCGGCTTCAGCTCGTACCTCCCGCATAGTCGCTGGACCAGAAGGACGCAGCGAAGCCGGTAGTCATGGTGGCGGCTCGCAAGCAGCAGCGCTCGAGTCGGGGCGGCGCCGGAGGGGCAGTATGGCAAAAAGAAAAGAAGAAGAAAACGGGCGAGTATTTGGGGGGTCGGTCAACGGCCGCAGCAGTGGTAGTGAGCGTGGAGAAGATAGGTCTGGGGGGACGAACACGCAAGCGGCAGACGGGCGCTGTGGTATGGCGGCAGGTTGCGCGGCCTGGGACTTGGTGGGCGGCGGCTCTGCTGACGGAGGCGCCAAACAAAGGCTGGCTGGCGGAGGAGAATTGGAGTGAACGGGAGGCGCCCTCAGGAGGGGTTTTTGCAGGCTGCAGCTGGGGCAGAGCTGAATGTCTCATGCACCCCTGCCTGTGCCGCCGCCGCCGCCTTTTGTCGTCTTGGGGGCAGGACAGGGCTGGCTCAGGCAAGCGTCTACGCAGCCGGGGGGGGTTTTTGCCCGACATTTCGCCTCTAATAGTGGGCAGTCATAAAAATACCAGCAGCCAACGTCGTCAATTCACCGACTCCCAAGCGCAGCCCCTGCAGGGACTAGAGCCTGGCCTGCGCGCTGATGACCGTCTATGCACCGCCGCCCTACTGACGCTACTGCTGCTGCTGCTGCTACCGTGGATCAAGCCTCAACACCAAGCCCGCCACACGTGCCCTCTCACCACCCACTGCATAGCCGTCCCCGGCCTCCCTCATCCCCGGCCCGCAGCGAGCGGCCAGCGAACCCTGGATCCCGTGCTGGTCGACCACGTTTGCCAGAGTCGCCCGCCGCGGTTGGCCTGCTTGTGCGTGCGCGTGGTTGAGGCTGCAGAGGGTGAATAAGTACGCCGCAAGGTTAGTCTGGCGCTGCATCTCCCCCCCCCTGTCTCCCCCTACATACGTACGCTGCAGCCGTCCGACGGGACTAGGCGTACGACTACTACCACCACTACTACTACACTACTACTACTACCTCCATACACGCACTCTCACGCAGCGCCCGGGCCCTCCGCGTCAGCCCCGCCATCGCCCTCCCAGACGTCACAGGGGCTCCAGCGTCGTGCTCGGCAAACGGCGCCCGATTTAATATAGCACGCCTGCTCGCACTGTCCCATCATGGCACCCGCCGCCGTCGACACCACCAGATTCAACTATGATCGCCACATCAGGTACTGGCGCCGCAACCTCAAGACGCTGCTGCCGCACTTCTACACGAGCAATGACTCCAACCGCATGCTGCTGGCCCTCTTCACCGTTTCTGCCCTCGACATCCTAGGCGACCTGGACGCTGCCCTGTCTGCCGACGAGCGCCAAGGGCACATTGACTGGGTCTACGGCTGCCAGCTGCCAGAGGGAGGCTTCCGCCCGTGGCCAGGCTCCAATTTCGGCGAGCTCAGAAACGACGCGAATCAGAAGTGGGATCCTGCTCACGTCCCAGGTACTTTCTTTGCTCTCCTGACCTTGGTCGTGTTGGGCGACGACCTGGAAAGGGTCAAGAGAAAAGAAATACTCGCATGGCTAGTCAAGATGCAGAGGCCAGAAGGCAGCTTTGGGGAGACGCTGGGCGAGAATGGAGACGTGCATGGGGGTAACGACTCACGATTCGGCTACATGGCTACGGCCATTAGATGGATCCTGCGCGGCGACCTTGAAGGACCCTGTGAAGGCATCCCGGACATCGACGTGGATGCCTTTGTCAAATGCGTCCGGGGCTCAGAATGCTATGACGGGGGCATCTCCGAAGCACCATATCATGAAGCACACGCTGGATTCACTTGTTGCGCCATCGCTGCCCTTGCCTTTTTGAACCGCCTGCCCTTGTCCCCCTCGCAAAAGCCCGACAATGTCGTTCGCGGGGTCTCCGACGTCCAGCGTACGCTGCATTGGCTTGTCTCGCGGCAAACCTTGACGCTGGACGACGACGACGCCGTGGACACCATTGGCGACGAGACAGATACGTCAGAAACGTGCCACGATGCCCACACTTTTGTGAAGCTGGGCTCTTACCCATCTGCGCAAGCCACCGAGAACACAAAAGGAAGTCCCCATGTCCATTACGAGCTCGAATGGGTCGGGGTCAACGGGAGATGCAACAAGACAGCAGACACATGTTACGCCTACTGGACGTGTGTGCCTCTGCAAATCCTCGATCACCTCCACATTGTCGATCCACAGCCCATTAGGAAATGGTTACTAGACAAGACACAACATGCTGTCGGTGGTTTTGGCAAGGTCACAGGCGACCCGCCAGACATGTACCACTCGTTTCTGGGGCTCATGGTTATTGCCATGTTCGGTGAGCCTGGTCTGCAGAGCGTTGATCCGGCGCTCTGTATCACGCACAAGGCGAAGAAGCATCTGGAGTCGCTCTCGTGGAGGAGGAAGATTACGAACATACATGGCACACCAGATAGAAACAGTGATACGTAGACGAGGGATAGATTCAGCCGTTTCTGGCGCACCGGTCAATGGTTAGAACATTGTGTGTTTTGAATAGCCAAAGTGGCGTTGTAACTTGTATTCCCGTTGACATCCTTGTGGACCCAAGCCATTTCTTCCTGTTGAGCGCCATACATCCAGGTATTCTTGGGACCATCTATTTCAGTCCCTACTCACACAGATAACCGAATCACAATATACCCCCACTGCCGCTATTATTACCATGACGTGTGGTGGTAGCGGGAGTGATAATATGCATGTCGTTCCATGGTACTAAACAAACTAGGGGGGGGGGACACCAGCCTCGGCTCCACAAACCAAACCTTACTTACCCTAAGCTACTTACCCTTGCAACCCAGGTAATTTTCCCAAACTCCGCAACTTTTCCCGCTCGTCGCAGTTGACCAGCGCGGCGCGCGGCACAACACTTCACCACATACATACATACATACATACACACCTACACGTGCTCGGCCTGACAAACCCATATACATACAACTATACATACAAAAGCACTGCGGCAGTTCTTCGTCCCCTCGCACCATGGGCCCGGCGACCAACAAAAAACGCAAGCTCGGCGTCACCGCGCCCGAAACCATCGAATTCGACTTTGCAGCGCGCGAAGAATACCTAACGGGGTTCCACAAGCGCAAGCTCGCGCGGATAAAACACGCGCAGGAGGAAAATGCAAAGCGCGAGAAGGAGGAGAAGCTGCGAATGAGGCGGGAGGTACGCTTTTTTTTTTCTCTTCTTCCTCTCTTAATTCTACATTTGATTTGGAAAAGTGGGAGGAGGAAAAAAGAGAGGGGGAAGATACAGCACTGCACTGCTGCTGCTGTCGCTGCTGCTGCTTGAGCAACATCTCTCTTTACACATGTACATGTACATTGGAAGTACAAAGCTAACGCCCAACACACAGCTCCGAGCCGAGCGCAAAGCAGATCTGGAAAAGCACGTCGAGGAAGTCAATCGCCTGGTCCGCCAAGCAAACGGCGATCTGAGCGCCTCAGACAACGAGTCTGATTCCGACGGCGAAGACGACGACGACACAGAAGGCGCAGAAGAAGAATTCACAGGGTTCCAGGACCCCGAGCCCATCAACCAGCACGACGAGTACATTGACGAAGACAAATACACAACCGTCACCATGGAAAGCGTCAACATTTCCAAAACAGGCTTTTCGCGGCCGGGCGAAGACGAGGAAGAGGATGAGGCGGCAAAGAAGGCGGCGCTGGAAAGTGCAGAGAGTGCAGAGGGAAGCGCGAAGAAGAGGGCTTGGACAAAGGCGTGGCCCAAGAATAGCGATAAGCCTAAAAAGAAGAAGAAGAAGTTTAGGTATGAGACCAAGACGGAGAGAAAGGCGGAGCGGATTAAGCAGGGTATGAAGAAGAGAAAGCAGAAAGAGGCTAGGATGAACAAAAAGTAGAGTCCTGGTCATGGGTCGCACAGAGGTAGTTTACAGGGCTGTAGAGTCTCGACGAAAAATGATACCCCTTCATGAATTGGCTGGAAACACGGTGAATATCGGTTTCCATTCCTCTGGAGATCCGCCCATTGATCAGTCAGCATTCGTTAGTCGTGGCAAACAGTACACGGTGCTTGGTTATTATATGTCGGTAATCGCCAACAATGTATTTGCTAAGGGATTATCTAAGGCGAACGGGCCCGCCCAGCAAGCAGCCGCAGGAAAGAAACAGTTGTATAGGGTAGAGGGTTGCGCGGATGTGATGTGTGAAAGCTGCTTCTGCTCCAAGCTCTGCCGCATACCGAAGCATCTTCCTCCACCTCTCCAAACTCGGCTGAATGCAGCCAACAGCGGCAAAACAGCGGCGATTGCGAGATTAGATGTTGCCAATCTCCTTGACAAAGTCGTCGAGCTCCTTCTTGGTGTCGGCGTACTTCTTGGCCATCTCCTCGTACTTGGATTCCCACTGATCGCGAGACTGCTCGAGAGCCTGGACTTTGCGTTCGTAGTGGCCGGACTTAACGTCGGTCTGGCGGAGCCTAGAGGGGTAGCGAGTCAGCACACGTAGATCAGGGGTGAATGAGGGCCTTGGGGATCGGGAAAGCAAGACGTACTTCTCATTGAGCTCACGGATCGTCCTGTCCGACTCCTCAGCTTCTTCCTCGAGAACTTGAATCTTGCGCTGGAGGCTCTCAGCTTGGGTGCCGGCCTGAGCACCTGCACCAGCTTCGTCCTTGTGGATCTTGACTTGCCCCTCAAGCTTCTCAACCTCGCTCTCAAGCACAGAGTTCTTGTGTGTCAGCGAAGTGATTTCCTGCTCCTTCTGTGTCGTCTCGGCCTCGAGCTGCTTGACCCTGGCCTTGAGCTCCTCGGCGCGGGCGCTGCTCTCGTCCGCCTCGACGCGGAGAGCTTCCATACGCTGTGCGAAAAAGGCTGTCAGCTTCCGCTGCGATTTTGACGGGTGCAGACGTGGCCGTGAACACGTTGAGGGCTGGTGACTGCACACAGGGGATTGGCGGGGTATGGCGGACTCACCTTCTTGATCTGATCCATGGCAGCGGGGGGGTATCGAGTTTGTGGTGAAGAGGAAGTTTTGGGGGTGGCGTGAGCTGGCGAGACGGCTGCGGGTTATATAGGGGATTGATGCAGGTGCAGTGTGTTGTCGTGGTTGTATGAGAAATGTCCCTTGCAGTTGGGGTTGTGCAAGCTGACAATGCGGGCAAGCGCTGCCAAAAGGGGACTACCTCCGCCCGGACCCTTTGCCCACCGCCCAGGCCCTCTGTGCTGCCGCCCCAGCAACCGCCAGTAAACACTGCCACTGCTGCCGCGCCGAGACCATCGTCCTACACCGAACCCGCCGTCCCCACCGCCGCCGCCCGCCGCCGCCCACGACTCGCTCAATGTAAACCCCATCATGGCCACTCTCGCAGCAAACGACCAGGAAAATGCTGTGCGCCATCTGCAGGCTGCCGCCGCCGCAAAGTCGCTCGGCGCCGGCCTGAAGGGCTTCAGCGCCAAAACACCCGGAAACAAGGCCCCCAAGACGCCCTTCAAGATCCCCCTCAACGACGAAAACGCCGTCGCCAAGGGCGGAAAGTCGGTTCTGCAGACCAAGGGCAAAGGAAACGAACTGCTCACCGGCGGCAAGGGTGGAAAGGCTGACGACAATGCCTTTGTTACGCCAGCCGGTACGCCAGGCGACGTGCAAGGCATGCATCGAGACTGACGTGTTCAGGGCCCCGCATGCGTGCGCCGTTGGGTATGAAGACGACCAATGCCAAATCAAAGGCCTTTGCAACCCCCGCGCCTCTGTCCGCAAAGACGCAGAAGTTGAGCCCGCGCCTGCGCCGTCCCAAAGTCAAGGTCCACCAGCCTGAAGCTGCCCAAGAGTCTGAAGATGACGTGCCCGAGGTGGAGTACATGCCGCCCAAGGAGATTCCGCTTGAAGATGACATGGACGAGATCCTGCCGAGAAACTGGACGATGCCCAAGATTAGCGAGCAGGATATGGTGCGTGGAATCTGGCAGGCTTATCACAACCCGATCGAGGACGATGGCCGGACGCGCGAGCAGCGCAAGTTTGAGGAAGAGATCCACCGGGATCGCAAGCAGCGCGACGAGCAGTTTGAAAAGGCCTTTGCATCGCAGATGGCCAAGGACGATGCTGAGATGAGGGAATACTATGGCATCAAGGAACCCGAGGCCACCAAGCCAGCAACCTCGGTCCCTGTGCTCCGAAAGGCCCTAACTGGACCGTCGACTATTCGCGCTCGATCTGCAGCCGCTGCGCTTTCTTCGGCAAAGCCCAGCTACGCTGCTCCTACTGTAGCTGCCAAGTCGCGCGTGCCCACTGGTTTGATTTCTGGCCGAAAGGGAGCGAAGACGCCTACAGAGCTTACAGCATCTCGTCAAGCCTCGGCAGCTGCAGCGTCAAAGAGCACCATTGGCTATGCTCAGGGTCGTGCAGGACGTGCCGCCCCAGCAGCACGCAAGCCTCTTTCCAACGTCACGAAGCCTGCGCCTTTCTCTGCCATGTCGCGACCCGCGTCCGCAACCCACAACCGCAGCGCGAGCACCAAGATTGGCACTATCCGGTCTCGCGGTCCTCTTTCCCGTTCCAGCTCGACCTCCACCAGCGCCACTCTGGTCACGCCTCCTGCCGAGGAAGACCAGCCTCGTCGCACAGCCGAGGATGTCGAGCGCGACATGGAATTGCTGCTTCTCGCCCGCTCCGACGACGAGGGCGATGACCTGTGGACCAGCAGTTTCAACAGGCAGTTGCATGGAGGATATGTCTTTGAGCAGGACTACGCAAACGACCACGACAATGCTGACTTTCAGTTCCAGCTCCCGGATGGTTTCTGAGATATTCGTGTATTGAGCAGGAAGGACATGGCAGGAGAGGCTACACGTGTAATTGCTAGCAGTAACATGGTTTTTACGTCTATTGGGCCATGGGGAGTTTGTTAATGGCATGGAATGGAATGGAATGGAATGGATACCTCTTTTTTTTTAGTCACTCGCTTTTTTTTTGTAGTCCTAGGTCTTTGATGCTAGATACGTATGCTAGGATCTATACTATGTCTTTACCATTGCGGTGTATATTGTGCACTTGAGCTTCGTACTATCGAGCCCATTTTAACGCCCGTTGCTGAGTGTGAGAAATGCTGATTTTCGTGTCGTTGACCTGGTTTCGGGCTTGCTGTTCGAATAACCGAGGAAAAGTATAAAGAGTGATTGTGTAGTTATCTGGAAACTTTGAACTTGAATGTGGAGATAGATTCAAAGGGTGGGGTTTGGGGGGGTTAAGTAGTCGTTCTCTTTCACCATCTTCACCATCTTCTCCATATCTCATGTCAAAACTACACACACACACACATGATATATTGAAGAAGGCGGGAATGAATATGGAGGATGGATATACTAGACTCATTTCGATATCCTTCCCCCTTTCTCCTCCTCTTTATTTTTTCGCACCCACATGTACATGTACATGTCCATACCCTTTATCCTTTAGACCATGGCCTACACCTTATGCCTGTAACCAAACTCCAACACTGAATATCCCCCCCCCAAAAAAAACCCCCCTACTAAGTATACTATACCTAAAATGAAGAAAAAAATTGTTCTTTTTTTTTTAGTTCTTTCCACCTAGATGTGCTCTCTGTATACTCTGGTATTCTTCTATCTGTATACCGTTGGTATACGGCGTGTCGTTTGAATATTTTGTTTGGGGGTTTTTTTAATTCTCTCTCTCTCTCTCTCTCTCTCTCGCTATCTATCTATCTATCTATCTATCTATCTATCTATCTGCCCCTTTACATTCATCACCATCCCCTTATATCCATCACCATCTGTCAGTCTGTCTGTTCTGTCTTGTTATTGACACCCGTGTTATTATTCCCCCTCTCTCTCTCTCTCTCTCTCTCTCTCTAACCACCCCCTCCCCTGCACTTAGACATCTCATTTCCCCGCAAGACATTTCCTCCCCCCACTAAAGAAGACCACAAACTTCTTCTTCTCCTTCTTCTTCTTCTTCTTCTTCTTCTTCTCCTTAACCCCCTCCACACACACACACACACTTCGAAGAAGAAAAAAAAGGACAAGAAAAGACAAGATGAGCCACGACCTAGGAAATAGGAAATAGGAGGAGAAAAAGAGAAAAAGAGAAAGAGAAAAAGAGAAAGAAAGAGAGAGAGAGAAAAAAAAGACTTCAACAATTCAGGCGCTGTTATTTTTTTTCTTAAAAAAAAAGGCACACACACACACACACACGCCGCCGCCGTTGCCATTGCCATTGCCATGTCGCTATTTTCAAAGGGACAATGTAATGTCTCAAGCAATCAATCTTGGCTTAGTTAGTTTGCTCTGGTCTCTTGTCTGTTGCATGTTGCATCTTCTGTCTCTCTCTCTCTCTCTCTCTCTTCTGTCTTCCGTCTTCCATCCATGTTCCATGTTCCATCTTTTCTCTCTCTCTCTTCTATCCCCAAGAAAAGATATGATATATAAATAAACAAGTCAGCCAACTAACTCAAAGAAAAAAAACTAAAAAACTCCCCCACCATGACTAAACGGCCTTGTCCTACGCCCACTAAGTACGCCCTTTCTTTGGCTACGCCTACGCCTGCCTACACATGTGCATATGCCTTTCCTTTTTTTTTGCCTCTTTTAAGCTTCTTTACCCACGTCCCATGTCCACACATGTTACCCACTGATCCACGCACGCAGTCCCCCCCACCATTTGAACTACTAATTCACCACCTCATCAACAGCATACAGATTCTGATTCAGAATCTTGTTCATGGTAAACATGTGAACGCGGTCTTGCTTGAAGACGGCACGCATGGCATCATCGCATCGAATCTGGCGCTTGTCGTTTGGATCCTGGAGATCGCGCGCTTTGACGTATTCCCATATCTTCTTCACCGTTTGCGGCCGCGAGAGCTGCGTTTCGCCGAGGAGGTGCGAGAGCGCGGGGGAGAGGGCCATTGGTTTCTAGGGAGAGTTAGACTGCACGTGTCATGGTAAGTGTAATAGTAAAGTCGTACGTGGAATCCGCCTTTTCGGCTGGGACTCTTCTTCTCACCCCCACTGCCCGAGCCTACGTCGCTGTCGTCGTCGACGCGGTTCGAACTCTTCTTCTTGGCCTTCTTCTTGGGCGCTGGCGCTCTCCGCTTTGTGTTGCCTCCACGTGTTGCCCTGCCCATGCGCGCATTTTCCTCTGCCTGTAACCTCGCCGCAAAGGCAGCATCGTCGTCCTCGTCCTTGACTTTGGGCTTTTTGGTCTTTTTCTTGGGGGGCGCATGGTCGTCCAGCTCCGAGGGCACCGACTGGTCGTCGTCGGGCGGCGATCGCTTGTGGTGGGACATGTCTGAAGTGTCGCCGTTTGACGTCTTGGTGCCGTTCTCGACCGAGTGGACGGGTTCTGAGGCCTCGCCGTTCTGCTCGCTGTTGAACTTGTCGAAGCGCAGCATGATGAGCGTGGTGATTTGGTCCTGTTTGAAAACCTCAGTCTATGCGTGGCAATGCCATGTTGCACGTCGCGGGCGGCCAACCTTTTGATGCGACAAGTCATGGCCGACTCTCTCCTGCAGGCCCTTTCGTATGCGCTTTGCCGAGATGGTGTTGATGTCGCTGGCGCGCAGAATGTCGTCGATGATGCGCGAGTACGAGGCCTCGACGTGGGCGGGGAGCGGGTCTGTTGCGCCATGGTTAGTACGTGGTTGCACGCGCGTGGGCAGACTGCGAGCGGGATGCTTACCCGACATGGCCGCGATGGTGGCTCGGAGCGAGCGTGGGTAGAGTGCAGCGTGTGGCGGAGCGCCCGAGGCGAAGCTATAGTGGGAGTGAGTAGTTGCTAGGTCGCACTGAAGACGGCGGCTGCGGGCAGGAATCCAGGGCCTAGGGTGTTTGGACAGTGGGAGCAAGCGCAACAAGCGTCACGACGTCTACAACCAAGCGTCGCGTCAAGTCGAAGCGTCTCCCGGCGCTCTCTCTCTCTCTCGCGCCCCCCAACAACCGACTAATGCTAGCCAGAGACGGGTGAGAGACAGCAGCAGCCACACACGCACGTTGCAGTCTCTCGCTCTCTCGCTCTCTGTGGGTGTCTCTCTCTCTCTCTCTCTCTCTCTCTCTCTCACGCGGGCGTGCCGACAAGTCGTAGCGGGGTCCAGTCACAGGAAGCAGACAGCAGTGGCACAGGGTGGTGAGGGCAGGGTGGAGGGGATAGGCAGAGCTGGAGATGCAGCGTGGACGCAGGCGCAAGGGGTGCCGAGTATGGAGACAGGCACTGGGCAGACGGCGATAATTGAAAGCATGCGCGATGAGGTGTGAGGACGTAGATGCACGGGCGCGGCCTAGTTCCAGGTACGGCCCGACGACCATGGAGGGAGGCTGGGGAACCATGAGCCCCGGAACACGTCCACGACACCTGCACGGCACCACCCACTGCGCGCGAAACAGCACGCCACGTCTTGCCGCCGCTGCCTCTGTTCCCCAGAGCATCTGCCCACACACAGCATGCATTGTCATGGTCATTCATTGTCGTCGGCTGCTTGACGTGCCCTACCGGCCGCCCGCCCGCCCGCCTGCACTGGGCTCGTCCCAAAGCGGTAATCTATCAGTGTCTACGTATCCAACGAGCTGGCACGCCCCCAAGACAGCCTCGCTTTCGCCCTGACGTGCCCCTCACATGACCCAGCAGCCCACGCCGTACATTTGCTTCTCCACGGCGCTCTTGATCTGGTACCAGTCTGCCCGCCTCTCGGCAAATTCATACACCTCCTCGGCGCGGAAGATGCCGTGGTACCGATCTGTATCTGCAATGATGGTGGCGATTTCCTTGGCCTGCTTTGCATCAATCAGGTAGATCTGCGAGAGCTCGCGCAGCGCAGCAAAGTACTGCATGAGCGGCTTGTTGCGCAGAGACACAATATACGCATTGTAAGCATTCATGTCGCTGCAGCTCTGGTCAGCAAACAATATCCACGTCTTCTCCACCGCCGCCTGCCGTACCTGATGAGCTTGATGGCGCCGTCGACGCTGATTCGCTGGCGCTTCAAGTGCTTGCATAGAGCAGTGAACAGGCGCACTCCCACTTCCTGGTTGAACACGTCCAGCACGTTCTTGTCGGTGCTACCAACAAGCATGTTGGTGTGCGACGACACCACTTCTACAATCTTGGTGGCCGTCTCGCTGGGCCCAACATCGGCCATTTCCACCACCCCATTGGCTCCCACCGGAGGGTTAAAGTCAGATGGGTGCTGCGTGGTGCCACAGAGGTACTCGACCTCGTCCATCAGCACGTCAATACCCTTGTTCAGGCCTGCGGCCACGCGTTCGTCCAGCATGGCCTCGAATCGCTTCTTTTCCTTGGCCCCAAGACTGAGAAAGTCATCGCGGTCCGTCAGATTGGCCGCGACCAGCTCTTGGAGGTAGAAGACTTCAACCATTTGCTGTATCAGGTCTCCGACATTGACAAGTTCCAGAAAGGCCACGAGTGGAGCAACCCCTTCTTGGCTGTGGTCTGCCACCTCTCTTGGCTTGTAGTCAGCCAAGTGACTCACAGCCTTGTCAAAGCCTAGTTTCATGTGACGGTTACCGAGAATCTGGACCAGATTGATGAAGATCTGTTCCGACTGTTCTTTGGCCTCTTCGCCTGATTGGCCGCCGAGCCGCACGAACCGTGCAGCTCGTTCAAGGCCAGCCTTGGCCATGTGGGTCAGGTTGAGAGCAACCTCGATGCTGAAAAGCGATCGGATTCCCTCGAGCCGCGAGTTCATAATGGCTGCTTTGGCAGCAAGCTCTGTTGTCGGCGCCTCCACGCGTGGTGGCATCGAATTCCGGTCACCCGGAACTGGAGTACCGCTCCTCGACGTTGGCCTGCTGCCTGCATTTGCCCCCATTGCAGCTTCCACAGACTTATTGGTGCCCGAACCGCCCATGGTGGGCAGCACATTGACCGGCATCATGACGACCTTTTTGAACGACGAGAGAAAATCCTGTTTGACGGCTTTGCGGTTGACATTGGCCATGTACCGTGTTTCTGTCGTCTGTTCTTCCTCTTGCAGCCGCTTCTCCCAAAGGTCCACCTCGGCAGCCGACCGGCGCTTAAAAAAGTCCAGCTCCTCCTGCAGGTATAAATCGACGTGTGGCTCAAAGCAGCGGATTATAATGCGTAATGTCTCGTCTCGGAAGTCTGGTTTGGACGCTTTGGTGGGGTGCAAGGACACGGCAAGCTGCAGCGCTTGGTCGAACACGCCAGCAACCGCCTTCAGGTATGCTTCAATATTCATATCGTGGGCTTCGTCGAAAAGCGTCGTGAGGTACTCTCCAATGACGTCGTCTGCAACACGCTCTAAAAAGGTCTGTAAAACGTCAATGGCCGGCGGAAACACTCGCTCAATAACCTCTGCTTCTTTGTTGAGGGCAACGGCCAGGTTCTTGAAAAACATATGCGAGGGCCGCAGCGTAACGCCGTCATTCTGCAGGCACTCTGACGGGTCTCCGAGACTCTCCTTTTCCAGCATCAACGGGTGATTGTGGATGAAGGAGTCGACACAGGCTGCGCCGCCATTCAGCGTTACCAGCACGGTTGCAAACCTCTTCATGCGGCCGTCAAAGTCTTTGTCCGCATAGCCCTGCTCGAACTCGCGGAGCACAGCATTCTCAAAGATGCCAGTCATTGTATCCAGCTTTTCCTCGCGCTGATGCCAGCCTTGGGCATAATCGCTCTTTGCAAACACCTTGAGCTGGGACAGCATCTGGGCCTGCTGCTCCGGGTCGCGGTACGTCCGAAAGAGGATAGGGTCTGTATGGCTTCTTGACCTCTCTATATCGTAGTAGAAGGGCGCCAGTGCGCCATAGACCTTGCCATACTCTTGCCGTGCCATGCCCCGGATTGAACGCACTTGTGACAAAACCTTTACAGCAGCCTGCGGATCGACCGCGTGGGCGGTTGGGGCTGGGGCGCCCGGAGCCGACAGCGTCATGTCGTTGAAGCCCTTGTCGAGCGTCGTCGAGCGTGAGTGGCCTTGGCGGTCGTGCGAACTGCGCAACATGTCCTCCTCGACGGCGGCGTCAAACAGCGTCATGCTGGTCTTGCCCATGTGGTCGTCGGCAGCGGGGATGCCGCTGGTGGTGGGGTTGAGTGCCACACCAGCTGCGCGAGCCTCTTCTGCTCGCTGAGCCTCGAGCTTCTTGCGCATCGTCTCGTCGAACCTGCGCTTCGCTTCGGCTTCGTCCCAGCAGCCCATGCTCCGCAGGCGTTGCTGCCACCTCGTGTCATCGTAGACCATCTCGCGCATGCGTCTCGAGGTGCGCGCAAAGTTGAACATGTCGGCGACGGGCAGGTAATCGAGAATGGCATTGATGAGCTCTGCAGACAAGAGTCAGACGAGGGGATTCCGTGTGCCGTGCAGCCCGTACCTGCAGGCAGGACAGCCTTTGAGTCGTCGACCATGTGCGTGGTGCGCAGCGAGGCCAGCATGGACGACTGCGTCTGGGGCACTGCCCGCTTGAAGTTTGACTTTGTGGCCATGGTGTTGGGGTGCAGAGGACGATTGGCAGGTCTACTGTTGTCCAAGGAGCGTCGTGTCCATAGCCAGGGCGCGGCCTCGGATGGCACAGCTGTCGCGGGGCGAGGGCAGGTTGGAGGTGAGGTGGGAGCAGTGGGCGTTGACGGCTGGCGGCTGGCGGCTGGCGGCAGGGTCTGGTGGTAGATCTACTACTAACATGGCACCCGATTGATCGCCCCGCAGCAGCTAGAGCCTCTTCGTCTACATACAGACGACTACGACGACGACTATTACGTATGTAGGCACGACAACATGGGCAGAGTTTCCTGGCAGACGAGACGATGATGGCCTTGTTCTCGGTGCCGGTGTACTTGTCGACTTTTTTTTTTTTCGCCACCGGGGGTGGAATGCATTCACTGCATGTGCATGTATGAATAAGACACGATGATGCCAGGCATGCATCATGACGCGAGGGCCGAAGAAGCAACAGCTTGTGCAACATTGGCATTTCAGCTCATGACGAGTGTGGTAGTGGTAGCAGCAGCAGCAGCATGACGATCCACCAGAGGGCGGCTTGGCACGGATTGGTCGCGATGCTCTGCAAAAAATCAAATAAACGGGCGAGGGTGCGATGCATGTGCGTCGCACCCGAGAAGCTCGCACTCGGTGTGTAGGATGCGCCTCGGGGTGGGGGTGTTATGCTTATGCAGGCGGGCAGACGGGGCCATGGCAATGGCAAAGAAAGGGCGGGAGCAGGAGTGGGAGAGGGCAGGCAAGGCATGATAGCGACGCCACGTGGATGCGGTGCTCTAGGCGCAGTGGCAGTGGCCGCGCCCCTGATGGCGTGTGGAAAAGAGAGAAGGGCCATGGAAGGACGGTGTGCGGTGCATGTTTAGGCCTCACACGCGAGGCACTGGTTTGCCGCCACGGCGTGCACCTGTCGCGGCCAATCAGCCCCGTGCCCTGGCGAATAAATAGAAACAGGCAGGGCAGGCTCGCGTGTTAGGCTCATGGTGCTATAGTATGAGGCGAGCGGCATCCGAAAGGCTATTGCTTACGGCGCCCCTGGGTGCCCAGAGAGACGTGTTACAGTGTCTCTGGAGGGTGTCTCAGTATCCGACTTGGACGAGTGGAAGAGTGGACGACGGGCAGGCCGAAGAGAGATGGGGGGTGAGGTGAGCAGGAAGGATAGCGTAATGGCAGCGCAGGGCAGGCGGACAGGCACAGGCACAGGCACAGGCACGAGGCGCAGGGGGGGGAGTAATAGCAATAGCAACTATGTGTGAGGAGGACAGCTAGGGCGAACGACAGGACTGGTCCGGCCGTGGGTGCCCACATGCGGCTGGCTGGGCTGGGGCGAGGGTGGCGCTGCTCTCTCGCGCGCAACCACAAAGGCCGCGCAAACTTTGCGGGTTTACTCGCACGCGCAATGGCGGCGGCGAGGATAGCCATGGGCCAAAGGGGATGAAACCCTGGCTGGAAGGTCGGCGGAAGGTTTCAAGAGGGTTCCGCGAGCAGCAGCAGCACATGGCATGGCGGCTTTGCACTGCGCTGCACAGCACCATGCAACCATGCAACCATGCACCCAACTGCTACGGGCCATGTGCCATGGGCTTTTTCGCAGCCTGGACCTTGCACGGCGACGGTGTTGATGTTCTGTGGGTGTTGTGGGTGTGTGTGTGTGTGTGCGTGTGTGCGTGTGTACCTGCATATGCCATGGCGTGCCAGACCACGCGAGCCGACGGATGTGGATGCGGACGCCGACACGGCTTAGCGTGGCTTGGCGGCGTGACTGGCCCAGAACGTGACCCGGGGGCTGGCGGGCAGGCACAAGCAGGCACAGGCAGGCACAGGCAGGCACGAGGCAGGAGGCCGGCACAGGCACAGGCGCAGGCACAGGCACAGGCATAGGCATAGGCATAGGCATAGGGCTGGGCACAGGCAGAGGCAAAGGAGGAGGGGAGGCAGGGCCCAGGCGCGTGTGCCAGCGCATAGCAGCTGGTCTCGGCCGCCTGGTTCGCCGCCCACCCGTGTGTGAGGGAATGAGCGTGAGTGCGAGTGTGTGGATGTGGATGAATGTGCACGCGCGCAAAGGGCCGGGCGTGGGCGTGGGCGTGGGTGGGGGCGCCTTGGAAGGGAAGGGAAGGAAAGGGAAGGGACGCGACGACGCGCCTCCTTCGCGCGCGCGCACACACACACACACACACAGGCAGGCAGGCACGATGACGGCATCCATGGCTGTGCACGCAGAGGGCCACAGAAGGCATCTAGAAACAGGTCACGGCCACGGTCACAACAATAGCCCGTGGGTGGCAGGGGCCGGCAGCCAATGGGCAGAGTGAAGCAACACGTAGCTTCAGCCTCGTCAGCGGCCAGGGCCCTCCTCACACACGCGCGACGGCTTATGTTATCGAGCACAGATGCCCGTCTTGTCGACGACCCTTTGAGACACCGGGTCGACGAGGCACTTTGGCGATTGGCTGTTTCACGCCAAAAAAGCGGGCCCGACAGCTGTGTCCTGATGCATCCCCTTTCCCTCGACGGTCCAAGAGTCATCCCAGAGAAGCAATGTGCAATTGCTTCACTCCGTCCGAAAGGGCCACGTACCTACTGGCTGCCCTGGGGCCCGTCCGTTGCCCCGTGGATCATAGACGACACGGCCAAGGTATAGACGTCAGTCCATGGCGATGCTCGACAACCATGACTTCAGAAGTTAAATATATATGTCCCAAGTATCGGGCCATTGTCACAACTACTGACACTCCTGTTGCACCGCTACCTTCCCACGCCGCCTTTGATCAATCTAAAAGTCTCAGACATAGTCTCGTCCTTGTCTGTTCATAAACACGCGCCGCCCATTGTCCTCACATATAATACCTGCCCATACACCCATCACCATTGCCATACACCCGCACACTATATCATTCCATCTCTGCGCTGCATCGCACCACACACAGCCACACATAACCACCACCACCATGCTGTTCGCCATGTCCAAGCCCAAGATGTCCGATGGCAGCGGCGTCTTGGGTAAAAGATGTGGAAGAGCGTAAAGTGTGCTTGTATGATTGTAGTCTATGGTTGTATTGTGTGATATCCAAGTCTATAGAGCGACATGCTACGGGTATATAAATGTCTCAAGTCCTGAGGCCTGCTACAAGGCCTCAGCTATTCCTCCTCCAAGAACAGGCAATGACTGCCTTCTTCCAGGCTGTGACGCAGAGGAAGCAGAGGTTGTCCGCCCCGATGATTCAATGCTTCTGGCGAAAGGGACCAGAGACTGCGCCCCTGGGCGAAGGACAACGGGCCCTCATTGGCCCGCGGCCAGCCTGACGAACAAGGCGACGGCCAGGCTGCACCGGCTGGTAGGGTGCTTGTCGAGGGCTAGCAAGGCCGTCACACCGAGGGTGACTGGTTTAGTCGACCGGGCAGTCTGGTGGAGTGGGAGCCGGTGTGGGCGAACCAAGGTTCGTTGCCTAGGCCGGGCTGCTGGCTGCGAGTGGCGGGGCCCGTGGCCAGCACAGCCGCACTCGCTGAGCCACGGCGCGCAGTCTGCACGGCAGACTCGAGGCGCTCTGCGGGATTTGGCCCCGTGGATAATAAGTAGCGGTGCGCGCCGCCACGACGACGAGGGAAGCAGCAGCAGCAGCAGCAGCAGCAGCGCAGGACGGGGTTTGGCGGCGTTGGGGCGTTGTCGAGTGGGTTGTTGTTTCGCAGACGACCAGAGGACCAGACACAGCCCGGCCCTCCTCAGCAAGCAGCACTTTCCCCATTGGGTGCCCAGACGCTGCGCCCCGACGTCCCATGTCCATGTCGCCGCCGTCGTCGTCGCCGCCGCCACCTGCGCATCCCAGGCAGGGCGAGCGAGGCCGACTGCCTGCAATCTGCACAAATTCGCGCGCAGCCAGGCCGTGGGAGGCAACCGGCCCAAATCGCCTGCTGAGACGCGAGACTGCGAGCGCGGGCGGGCATGGCGGGCGGCGGGCCGTGGTGATTGGTGCGTGGGCGCCGCCATCCATTCATTCATTTTTCCGAATGAGGAATTGGTTTTCCTACAAGCGGCTATGTCAGCAAGGAGAAGGCACGAGAGGGTCATGGATGGGTCGACTTACGGCCACCGTCTCCAGGCTGATCTGATCCATTGAGCAATCAATCCATTACTCCAACTACCGCCATGAGACTTGCACTCGACATGTCCCTCTCCTACGTGGACCCCCAGCCCCGAGACGGAGGTGCTCCCAACCCAAGCGCCGCTACATCACGACTATCTCTCTCCAAGCTCGTCTCCATGGCCGGCGACGGCCCCCAGCCCCGTGACGGAGGCTAATTGGACACACACACACACACAACGCCAATCTCAAGTATGTCGCTGTCTTCTGGGTCCTTTCGCCAACCGTAACTAAGATTGTTTGCAGTCCCCACATATTTCGAGTACTGCTTTCATCCGACTTACCGACCGACGGCGCATCGCCATGGCCATGCTCCGACCTCCCGACGACTGTCGTCAAAGCTCGGATGGTGCCGGACTCGACCAGCTGCACAACCGCAACGGACTTTGCTCCATGTACACTACCGTCCATTTCACACGACTTGATGTTTTTCATTATACCACTGTACTTTTATGGGTTTCTTTTTGGGGCTGGAATTTGGAATTTCCTTCTGGTCTTTTGGGGGATCAAGGCGTATCGGTATTACAGGGCATCTTGGGCAACCTCTGGGAAGATGGATAGACGGCGTTGGGGATAGACCGCACGCGTTTCGCTGCAACCGGGTTTGATTGGCTTTGCCCTCGTCAAACTCGGGCTTTTCTTGGGTCGTGCCGTTCCACTGGGGCTCGGTAACTAATCGTCTTTTTTTGTTGAGTAACATAGACAAGACAATGCACACCAGACAGAAACGTTTGGGCCTCAGGGCTACGTGATCACCTCAAACATTTTTTGCTTTTAGTCTGAAACATGCGGGGGGCCGTGGTGGCCTGCGGCACCAAGAAGCAGCAGAAAAGAAAAAAACAAGGCCGTTGAAACATGGAGTATGCCCAGCTCCGAAACACGAAACAACGTCTTTTTTGGTGTGTCGGAACAACCGTTGAGAGAAAGTGGTCCCCACACCCACACCCACACACCCGCGCGCGTGCCCCCGCGGCTCTTGAAATCTTGGTGTTGAAGTTAGTTGGAGGCAAAAGGGAAACTCTGGCGTATCACGTTGGACTCCCCCAGTAAGCAGGGCAAGCCCCGCCGCCGCCCGTCGTTTCTTGGCGCTGAGAAGGGGACACGCCATGGCACATCACCACGCCTGTCTGCCTGCCTGCCTGCCTGTCTGCATGCATGCATGCCTGCCCTTCCTCGTCACCCGCTCAGTCTCAACACGACATGCTCTTGCGACGACACCTGGATACCTGCCAGATTACCTGCACACCCTCAAGACATCTCCGACACATGGTAATATCCCGCCCATGTCTCTCCATCGATCGTGAAGAGAGAAAAAAAGAGTCGTGGTTGCCGCCTCCAAGAACCCCGCAGTGCGCCAGGCAGCCTACTGTAAAAATTTAGTCAGAGAAACCCCAAACAAGAGTCGCGCACGCGCACAACATGAAGAATTTCACAGGTCAGACTGCAGCCGCCCTGCCCACTTGGAGCCATTTCGAGTACCGCTGGTTGTGCCCAGCCGCTGGTAGACGACGGGCTGCTGCTGCTGCTACTTAGCGACGGGTGTCGAGAAAAAAAGACGATTGATTCGCGTGCTACCAAACGGAGCCAGTACCGTTTACTTGACCCTTTGAGTCTGCGCCTGGCCTACCGCTCTGCTTGCAAAGGAGCCAAGCGCATTGATAATATATTGCCGACGTTGCGTGACTGCAAGGACCTGGTCGCTTGCGTCTTTGTTCAACCTTCTTTTCCTTTACTCCAGAGTCTGTCCAGCCTTCGGATCCCCTTTTTGCATCTCAACACGATAGAGTTTTTTGGCATCCAAGGTGCGCTGAGTATCAGCATATCAGCATATCAGCATATCAGCACATGTGGGGGGGGGGGGGAGGGGGGGGTGCAATATGCGAACAAACATCATGTTACCCTTTTAGATGTCGCGTCCCACATACAACACAAACATAGATTTGCATGTACGTAGTAATACAAGGAGGCGGGAATTTTCTATTTATTTATTTAATGCAGATCGCTCGGGGGGTAATAGATACACAGATATTCACACACACGTATACAAGTGCAAAGCATGATTGTTTTTACTCGTCTATTGTAACTACTTACATAAAGTTGATTTAATTGATTGATTGATTTAGAAAGAGAAGAAGTCCAAGTTTCTCCCCGGGTATAGTTGTATGTATATCTTTGGTTATGAAATGCAAAAAAGGGGGGAAAGGGGAGGGGGGGGGAAACCATGGTAAACGCCAGAAAGCTGATGGTCCACGTCGCTACTATAGGGGGGGGGATGCTGAGTGAGACCAAGGTTGGATTTTTACTTCTTGCCCAGCTTGTTGAGCAGGTCCTTGCCCTTGCCGATTAAGCCCTTTGCAGCAGCAGCGTTGTTGTTGTTATTGTTGTTATTGTGGTCGTCGGTCTTGTGCTGAGTAGTGGTAGCTTCATCATCGATGACGTTGGCAGCGCCGCCTCGACCATAGTGCTTGGGGCCCTGGGGCTCTGTCTTGGGGGCGCCCTCGACGTCCTGGGCTGCTCGCGCAATCTCAGGATGCTCGGGGTCGTTGCGTGCCATGTTGCCTGTTCCTCCACGACCCGTCGTGTACGTGTCTGACTTGAGCGTGGGCGTGACGAGGTCTTCGGGTTTGGTGTAGTTTGCTGGGTCGTCTTTGGCAATGTTGCCTGCGAAGAGTCAGTAAGGGTGCTGACACGCTGCGACGTGGGCTCAAGAGTCAGCAAAGATGTGCGCGCGACTTACCAGCGCCTCCGCGTCCGTGTGAGGCAACACGCTGGGCATCGGCCGGTCGAGTAGTCATGGTGAGGGTTTAAAAAATCGCCAATGTACTATATATGTACGGTGGAGACACATCCTACATCCCACATGCTGCATGCTGCATGCTGCATGTGTGCTTACGAAGGGGGGGGATTATCGATTGCATACTTCTTGTGTGCATAATTTTTTTTTGCACGTGCGTGTGTATATGTATATGGATATAGTACATGGATATAGTAGCATAAAGTACGTACTTACGTAGCATTACTTGGGGTTACTTAGTTAGTTAGGTAGGGTTACTTAGTTAGGTAGGGTTAGGTACTAAGTACTAGGGCTAGGGCTAGAACTCAGCGTGCGAAATATTAATGCTGATGCTGATGCTGATGCTGATGCTAATGCTGATGCCACTGCTGATGCTGATTGCCCACTGCTCAACTATCTACTGTTATGTACATGGATGACGCGCGGACATGGGCATATCCACAATTGGCATTGACATTGGCATGGGCATGGGCATGGGCATGGGCATTGGTCGTTGTGGTCGTCGTCATGGTCATGGTCATTGGTCGTAGCGATACTTACCGATAATCAGAAATCAGAAATCGGGAAATCAGAAATCAGGAGACATGCTACACGCGAGCGTGGCAGTGCAAACGGCGGATAGAGCAAGCGGAGACATACTTACGGGCGGAGATACATACTGTAGCGGAGAGGTGGTCAATGGGGGAAGGGGGGAAGGGGGGGAAGGGGGAAGGGAAGGGAAAGGGACGGGAAAGCCGCTTTCCGCTTTCCGCTTTCCGCTCTTACCTGCTCGCTTTTCGTTTTTTTTGGGGGGGGGGGGGGGTCTCGCTATTGTGGTGGTGTGGTGGTGGGTGTTGTAATGTAGGCATATGAGTGAGCGAGTGTGGGTAAGGGACACGTGATATTAGACATGTTTGTATAGCCATGTACGTACTTAGCTACGTAAATGGCAGAGTATCTAAATAAAACGACTACTTACTTATACATTTTCCATGTATACATGTAGTAAGTAAATCGACATGAATATTCAATTCCAAGTACAAGTACAAGTACAAGTACATACCCAAAATCTATATGCATCCATTACATGCATCCATCCGTCCATGCATGCATGCATCAATACACATCCCCCTTCCCCTTCCTCTTCCCCCTTTCCAATCTTCCATTTACATTAGCCCTTCCGTTTCTCCTTCCGCATTCAGCCATTTTACCCTTTTTACATGTGTTTCCCCCACTGTCCCCGCTTTACGCACTTACTTACACACAGGTACACATGTCCGTGCGCTACTTACTACTGCTACTGCTACTTACTGCCCGTGCCTGTAGGTACGCCCGCCATGGCAGTGTCTGTGCGCTGGCAGGTGGTGGTACTGCCCGTGATGGTGCTGGCTGGTGGTGGTGGTGGTGGCGGTGTTGGCATGTTTTAATTACCCATGTGCATAAAGGTTATGTGTGTGTGTGTGTGTGTGTGTGTACAATTGACATTCGCTCTTTTTTTTTTGCGTTGCTGGGTGGAGAGGAGGACTAGTGGGTGGGGATCTAGATGTGTGGGTATGGGTGTATTGATCGCTTTGCTTTGACCCTTTTTTTTGGCTTTTTTCTTGCTTTCTGAGAGCATGCATGTGATTGTGTATGTGTATGTGTATGTATTTGTATATGTGAGAGAAAGTGTGGGTGTGTGTGTGTGTGTGTAGTAGTAGCTGCATGGATTGTGCCATGTACAGCGTCCCTTTGCAGCTTTTCGTCTTCTTTTCATTTTCTTTTGTGTGTTTCACTTTACTTATCTTGTTTTTGCGTGGATTTGTAATTCGTGGTTGGTGTTGGCACCTAGCTACATCTGTGTACACGTGACTGTCGAGGGCTACCGGGTAGGGTAATGGGATATATCTCAGATATTATCTGTTCTATGTATGGTTAGATATAGCAGATTCCACAATCCAGTCGGCTATTCGTGCCCTCTGGTCATCAGCCGCGCGTGCTGCACGTACATGTGTGCAGTAGTGTGCTTGTCAAGTACAACAAGATGCATTGAAAAAGCGAGCAAAGAGACGCGTAAACGCTTATTCTGCAACTATGTAGGCTGTTCAAAAATAGCAAGACATGTCTCAGACGATGATAGCAGTAGTAGTAATAATAGCAACAACAACCATGCCGAAGGATCGATAGTCGAGCACAGATTTCTTCTTCTTTTTCCTTGCGCTGCTTTTGGGCGGATATGTCGATTATGGGTCTCGGTTTCTTTTTCTTCTTCTCCTGGCGTCAACACACTCGCCCGCCCTTACTCGCATCCAGCCATCTCATCATGTATTCCTGTGCAGTGGATATATATGGCGACTCAGCCCGTCTATCGGCCTCGATGTGGCTAGCGTACTTGGGTATGTAAAGGGCCCAAACACCTTGCCTACATGTACAGAGACAACTGAAGCTATCTACCTGCCCACGCCCATGCCGCATGGCGCTCCACCCCGACCCGGTCTGATCGTGCAGCGCTTCCCCGGCGGCCTTGTACGCGTCTAGACGCTTGCTCCGCGCGTGCATCTACACATACATGTACATGCATACGTACGGCTATGCATGTACCAACGGAAGCCTGGCCCGCGCACATGTGCACCATTCGCTCTTCTCCGAGAGACGGGGACGGGGTAGTTGGTGCGCAACATGTGCATGACGTCCCCTCCTCCTCCTCCTCCGCCACCACCGTGTGTGTGGTTTGCTTTCGCCACAAATATTCCTTTCTGGCCTTGCTTCACTCCAGACGTGGTCGCCTGCTATTGGAGTGCGCGGGTTCATGCATACGCATGTATGATGGTAGCATGTTTCGTGGCTGGCTGGCTGGCCGTCGTCATGGTAGTGGGTGGTTATGCCTACACCTGGGCAAGGCTGCGGCACGTCGCGCATGCCATATACTCTGAACGTTTCTCCATAGGCAGCTCGCTGCACTCCCGTTACTAGCAAGAAAAATAACATGGCGACCACAACTACCGCTACCACGGAAGCCGAAACATGGGTCCATTACCACGACGGCGGAGTCCCTGGTCGCCGCCGCGTCCTCAAAGGCACAGCGGCAAAACCCACATTTACCGCGCTCCCCAAGATAGATTTCCAGCGCATATACTCGGACAGTCTCGCTGATAGAAAAGAGCTGGCGGCCCAAGTCGGCGCTGCGTGTCGCGACATTGGCTTCTTCTACGCTGTAAACCATGGAGTCGACGACGAGATGCTGCAAGATACAATGGACGCATTGAAGCGCTACTTTGCACTCCCCACCCACGTCAAGATGGAGACGCATAACCAGAAAACGGACAAGTTTAGAGGGTACGAGGCGTTTTTGGAGGGCAAACTCGATCCAAGCACGAGGGGTGGTGAGATTTTCTCTACTTAGCTCCAAGTACACATATATATCTCGTTTTGTCATCTGATATATGGCTGCTAGATGTAAAAGAAGGCTTCCTCATGGGCGAAGACTTCACCGACCCAGAGCAACTCTCCCTGCTAACCTCGACGCCCAACCCGCCCACCCACACACCCCGCAACCAATGGCCTACACATCCCTCGGCCCTCTTCTGGCGCCCAGCCCTCTACCGCTACTACCGCGCCATGTTCGCCTTCAGCAAGCGCATGCTGCGTGTATTTGCCCTCGCCCTCGACCTCCCCGAAGACGCCTTCGACGCCATCACCACACACCCCATGACCAACGTGCGCGCAGTGCATTATCCCCCGCAGCAGTGCGAGTCCGACGTCGGGATAGGCGCCCACACGGACTTTTGCTGGTTCACGCTCGTGTGCCAATCGCCCACGGCGTATCCCGCGCTCGAAGTGCTCAACGGCAACGGCGAGTGGATTCCCGTGCTGCCGGAGCCGCACACGTTTGTCGTCAACATTGCCGATTTCCTCAAACTAGTCACGGGCGGCACCTGGCAGAGCACTGTGCATCGTGTGCGGAATATGGGTGGCGAGGAGCGCTATAGCATTCCGTTTTTCTTTAGCCCCAATGAAGATGCGAGCGTCAGTGTTGTGCGGCATTTACGCAGCGACGGTGTCGCGTATGCCGAGTTTGGCGTTGGCGAGTATTTCCAGAAGAGGCTGGATATAGATCGGAGGACGCATTTGGAGGGGCATGCTGGGGAATGAAGATGTTTGTGAGAATTAAGAGAGAGAGAGAGAGAGAGAGAGAGAGAAAATATCAACAACTAGAAATTAGGATTGTAACGAATGTCAAGATTCGTATTTGGACTGAACAACTGCCAGATAAATCGTCAAGCTGCGCCAACATGACCCATTTCCGTTCAAGAAAGAAAGAAAAAAAAGGTAGTTTACTTTTGATCCGCATTTCCATGTCCCTTGGACATCTTCCTCTCCACCAACTCCTTGAGCTCAGTCTGGTCGCTTTCCAGCACACGCACTCTCCGTATGTATTCCTCGACCAACTTCTTCTCACCCTGCTTCTTCTCCGCCTGCAACTCCTGCACACGCTTTGCATCTGCATTCTGGCTTTGGGCCTCTGCAATGTCCGCGTCCATGACTGCGCTATTGAGCTCGACTTCGAGGTCGTTGAATAGCGTCAGCAAAGCCTTGGACGACCGCTTGAGTGCATCGAGTGTCGAGTGGGCGCGGGCAAGAAGGTCTGCATCACCTGTACCATCATCCAAGCTCTTGATGGCAGCAACAATCTGGTCCATTTCCTTCTGCTCTGTGCTGAGGGCATTGACAACGACGTCTTCTGCAAAGCTGACGAGCTGGCCAATGCGTCTTGCTTTCTCGCGCTTGGCTTTGAGCGCAGCTTGCTTTTCTGCAGATTCGAAATGCTTCTCCGTGTCTCGGACTTGGGCAATCTTGCCGGTGGCGTACAGGGGCTGGATCTCAGTCTTCTTGTAGCAGCGGTCGCGCTCTGCAACAACGTGTACGACGCCCTCGTGCCTCTTTTCCACTTGCTTGTATATAGCGTCCAGGAGCTCGAGACAGTCCTCAGTGCTGGGTGGGTCGCCGCCCTCTAGACTCTTGATTCCAGAGACCGACGTTTGGAGCAGATGTTCGGCTTCGACATACACGTCCATGAGTGAGTGCATCTCCGCCTCAAGACCGTTGTAGACTGGGTCGAACACAGCTTCTACGTAACTCTTGTATTCTTCCTCGACCTTTTTCGTTTTGAGCGCAGCTTCCTTGCTCTTAAAGTCTTCCTCCATCTGCTTCATCTCTGCGTATGAGATTTCATTACCATTGAATAGCTCGTCGTTGCGCTCTTCATTCTCGTCTTGGCGCTTTCGACGAGCGTCGTCGTTTTTCCAGCGAGTAAGAGATGCCGACTCTTCCCATATTTGCTCGAGTTTCTTCGCACCAACCAACTCAATTTCTGCATTCTTCAACTTGTATTTGAGCTCCTGGAGTTGACGGCTAGTCGGGCCTTCGAGATGTCGCGGTAAGATTGCAGCCAAAATTTTGTTCCCATCGTCTTTGGATGGGAGAATCATTGAAGTCGGGCGGTGTGGGTGCAGACTCAAAGGTCTGGGGATGGGTTCGTCGGCATCATCTTCATATCTCTGTGTCCTTGGCTGACCTGTTCCAAAGAAGATTTCATCAGGGCCCCTGGCTCCGGTTGGAGTACCTGAAAAATTCATTGAAAACCTATGGCTCAAAGGAGCCGGTTCTTCGGGTTTTGTGGAGGGTGGTATGTAAGCTTTGTACTGCGACTGTGGCTGCCCTTCAGGCAGAGATTGGATCGGTGTTTTGTTCGCATCATCATCGACTGAGCTTGTCGGTGTCAGGATGGTGGTGGACTGCACAGAAGGTGCTGTTGGAGCCCGCGGCTGAATGTTCTCCAAGGAAGGCATTGTTGGTTGTCGCATGAGAATGGGCCTTCCACCTGGGCTATAGTCATGGTCATCCTCGTCCACTATTTCCTGCGGTACTTGAACCCTCAGGTTTGGTCTCGCATCAGAGATGTCAGAGTTACTGCCTTGCACAGGCTCTTTTGCCGGCACCTTGGGTGGAGTATCGAAAAAGTCGATCCCCCTGGCGGCAGACTCGGCTTTCATGAATGCTTTGAAAATCTTCATCTTTTCTTCAAGCTGCGGCTCCATTGCCTCGCTGCGAAGCATGGCAATGTACTTTTCTAGCGAGCTAACATACCATGGGTCAAGATCTGGAATGAGGTCTGCCGCGGTTGGCTTCGGCAGTTCTTTCGTCCTTTCGACCTCGAGTTGGTGTCTCAGCTCAGCAATGGTGTTGTCGCGTTCTTCGAGGTTACTGTCCTTTCCCTCCATTTCTTCCTTTAGTCTGTCAATAGTGAGACCCTTTTCTCTGGCCACCGCATCGGAATTGGCGTTAGCTTGATCGGCAGTAAGCCTCATATTGTCGATTTGTGCTTGCAAAACACTCATCTCGTTGGCTGCATGGTTTCTTGCAGCCTCTGATTCTGATTCAAGCTTCAGCCGCTCGGCCGTGAAGAGCCCAATCTCAGCATTGCGAGTGTCAGTCTCTCGTTGCAAGTCTGCTCGTAGCTGGTCAATGAGCTCGTCTTTTGCCTTTATTTCTGCAGTGAGACTATCCACCTGCGCACTTCCAGGCAACGACTCTGATGCCAGATCTTTCGCATCAACATCAAGCGTCTTTTGAGCTGGTTGCGGTTGCCGCATGAATTCGCCTTGAACAGGGGTACGCTGGCTCGATGGTGACGATGGATCACGGTTATCTCGTAGTCGTTGTGTGTTGTCTGCAGGCTTAGGAGCTGTTCTCAAAGGCGCTACAATTGCATCATTCACGACGAAACCCCCGTGTGCTGGATATGGCGGACGCTGCTCGCTGAGATTTGCCGTGCTAGAAGGTGGTGTAGGCATGTAGGTTTCGCCCGAGTCATTTGAATCCAGGTTAGCCGGATGTACTGCAGGGCTCGGGAAGCCGTGAGTCGAAGGAGGTGAGGGGACGTGAGCTGGCAATTCGACGCTACTCGATTGGGTGGCCTTGTTCTCTTGCTGTTTTGGTTTGGCAGCAAAGAGTTCTTCGTCATCAATCTCATCGCCGCCACCCAAATGTTCCCAATCTGAAGGACCACCAGCAGCCAGTGCACTGAACGTGGACTTGTCGTCGCGAGGTGGAGGCGGAGTTGGCTGCGTCTGAGGGAGGGGTTTATCATTCGCACGCTGCGCTTGGTAATTGGCAAAAGCAACTGAGCCTATAGAGTCGACACGTTCATAGCTAGGACGCTGCCCAGAGGCAAAACTCAGACTTGGGCGATTGGATACTGGTGATACTGGTTGACTTGGATTGGACTCGGACAAGTTTGTCACGGCAGTGTTAGTGCGATTGAGTGGGGCTTGTTCCTGGCCACTTGTTTGAGTTTGTGGTTGCTGTGCTGCCTGTTGGTTTGCATAGGATGGGGGTAGAGTTTGGGGATTGGGCACTGGAGCGGGCGGCGGTGGTGGCTGCCACTGATTTTGAGCTTGAGCTTGAACTTGCTGCGTTGCTACTTGCTGAGCGTAAGGATTCTGTCCATAGGACGGTTGTGGCTGTTGATAATATTGGGTGGGTGGCTGCTGTGGCTGCGCAAACGGCTGTTGCTGAAGTTGGACTGGAGAAACGGATTGGCCTTGTGGTTGCTGTTGGTAGTTGTGCTGCTGTGCTTGGAATGGAGATGATGTCTGTTGTGGAGGTGTGGGTGTCTGTGGTGGGTATTGAGCAAATGCTTGTTGTCCATATTGATAGTACTGCTGTTGTTGCTGAATCTGCCCTGCCTGCTGGCTGAAGCGTACCGGAAGAGGTGGTGGTTGCTGCGATTGGTACACGGGCTGTGCGCTTTGGGTCGGCTGAACTTGCTGCCACCCTGGAGCATTTGGTGGAGGAGTAGAAGCATACACACGTTGTGCAGAATTAGTATTCGAGGGCGTGTACTGTTGTCCACCTTGTCCATTTAGAGCGGGTGGTATGTACGTCGACTGCTGCCTAACTGGGCTGGCGGTTGCTGGGACTTGTGGGGAACCAGTAGGTTGAGCATTAGAGTTTGCTACTGCTTGGGTAATGCTGTTAGTTGAACTTGGTCTTCCGCCTTGTGGTGGGGGATAGTATGCAGCGCCCTGCACAGCTGAAGGCGGTGGGGGAGCTGCTTGCTGGTACGCTTGCTGTGGATTGCCTTGAATAGGATATCCTCCCTGTTGAGCTTGAGGTATGAACCCGGTGGTTTGCTGTGGCTGTTGAGGCCAAGCCTGCTGCGGCTGCTGTTGCTTTTGAAGTTGTTCTTGTCGCTGGACTGCTGCCGCGAAGCCCTGGGGTTTTGGCGGAGAAGGGGGAGGCTGGCCTTGTTGCTGCTGCTGAACATATTGCTGTTGCTGTTGCTGTGCAGCTGGCATGGCCCCGTATGTGCCTGGATTATATCCAGCCATGATTTGCTGTTGCGATTGGTTCCAGGCACCCGGGACTTGAGTTTGCGTAGGCGTAGCTATAGTCCATTGACTCTGCGCCTGAGGAGGAATAGACTGATATCCCTGAGGGACTGAGCAAGTATGTTAGCTCTCTAGAAAGCGCTTCGCCGCTTCTACCTGCACACGCATACCTCCATAGCCCGGTTGTGGTGGCGGCGGAGCCGGTGTAGGCCCGCCCTGCTGCCCCGCGAAGCCCGCCGCGCTTCCTGGCTGCTGATAGCCTGGTGTTTGTCCGTAGTTCTGCATCGCAACCTTTCCTCCTCTTTGGGTGCCGGCCCTGATATGATGGGTTGGAGGATTGCAGTCGGCAGTGTACTGTTTTCACCGGAGTCGCGCGCGCTCGGACGACAGCTGAGGTGTTTGGGAATGTTGGACTTGCGACAAATCTAGTGCACACCAGGCGCACGGTAGGCGCTGACAATGAATCACAGAGGCACTCAAGAACGATTAGATGGTATTGTTGAACAAGTAGATACAAGAAAGTGACAGGTCAGGTCCCCCAGAGCTGAGCCTCGTACGCCTGAGCCGCAAAGCCGAGGACTAATAAAGTCTAAACGTGCGCGACGCCACAGCCACTGGGTTCCGGGATGCTGTGGTTCGTAACCTTTCCGCTTTTGGCACCACGATTGCTATGCCGAACTGATGGCGACGCAGAACTGCGTTTCCGCGACAGGATGATTAAGCTGCAAACAACATCCTCCAAGCGCATTATCCAGTGGTTTCCCCTGGCTGTAAATCAATGTTTGCTGTATTTGCATAATCGCTGAAGAAACCACATGACCCACACAGCCAACACATCTCAACCACTCTTCTTGCGCCTCTGCTCAGCAATGTATGTAAAGACATACTCTACATCCTTTGCAATTTCCACCATTGTCTCCTTCTCCTGAACACTTTTTGGCGCTATGCGCGTCACACCACCAGCTGCACCCACAGTCATCTGGGTCAAATCAGTGCCATGTTTGCAAAGAGTTTGTGCATGAAACATACCATGTCCCAACGATGATGGCCGGTATTGCCCGTGTCAGACGGCGGCTTCTTTGGTGCCCCCGTCAACCGCTCGAACGCCACATACTTGCCCTCTGTCAGCTTCCTTCCTTGACGTGATCGTTGCACGTCGGGTTTAAAACTACAACTCTCTTGTCCTTGTGGAACCTGATACGTCCGAGATGACCCTATTTTCTTGACATGGCTTCTTTGCGCCATTATGCCATTACCAAAGGACTCAAAGTCAACGGGAAGCTGGACGGTAAAGGTGCGAGCTAGCTCGCCAGGGCTCTCTGCATGTTTGGTTTGTGTAGTGACGACTAGCACATGGAATACGCGGTCTTGAAGGAATTCGCGACCAGCGACCTTTGGCATCATATGGAACATCTGGAAGACTGCATCGCGTGAGCGAAACCCTTGCGGAAACATGTGCAGGCAGAAAAAAGCAAATCCAGTATGACCTATGAGCCTTGGTGAGGGATTCGACTTACTTGACATTTGCATATTATGAATTTCATGTCTGTACTTTGAATCGCCCAAGGCCTTGAGTAAATCTTCACGCTCCCAAGTTAAAAGTTCAACAGAATCGAGTACACTGGGCGTATAAACGACTTCATTGCGACTGTGGTCTTGTGCCAGCAGATGCCCCAGCTCGGAAAAGGCGACATGTTCGTCGCTGTGGAAAGATGTTCTGGCCAGCCAGCGCCCTTGGTAAACAGTTTTGATACGTTTCTTGACTGAGACTGGAACTGGAATCGCCCCGCTGTTCTCGGCGGCATCCAATGGAGGCATCATGATGTTCCCACCCTCGGGAGTCCATGTTCCACATTCTTTGACATCTTTGTCGAAATCAACTTGCTCAACCTCAGTGAAGAGATTGTTCAAAAACTGCGCCAAAGTAACTCGATGATCTGAAGGGGCATTTTCGTATAAATTATGGTAGGGCAGATCGAGTTTTTCCAGAGGTTTAAGTTCCAGGTACCGCCGTACTGAATGCTGGGGTGTGGCCTCTGTAGTGGTGGCAGGCGCGGTACCTGCATCCGTCCCGCCAGCGGGATCTTGCGGAGATTGTACCGGTCCGGATTGGCCGGAATCTCCAGACATGGCATTGTTTGTCATTTCGGAGTTCCGGGCAGCGGAACGGAAGCCTTGGGTATGCGAGAAGTCCCAACAGGCAATTAGTTGGGGAGGTACAGCTATGATCGCCTTGCAACTTCCGAGACAGGCACTTCGATACTGGTCCAGACCGCCTCGATACGAAGATTCACGTGAGGCAAAGAGCGGCAGTCGTAATTATCTACAGAACCAATCAGTCCAGTTCTTCGGTTACGGACACCTTGCATACTGACACCAGGGCAACCCTTGGATCCCGCGGCTAGGTGTTGTGGGCGTGGACGCAAGAGACCGAATGCGGTATGGCAGTTGTAAGCGGAACTTGGGTAAACAACATGCACATGCACCGTCTATGGCGTGCTTAGGTGCTTGACGGAGAATATTGGCAGAGGAGTCGAGGTTGTGACGTTTGAGACGGGATTGGCTAGTGTACTCGTACACGGTAGCCAGAAAGGGCTGTGATTGGCGGCTTCCTGCATATGCGACACCTGTCAGTAGGTGTGCACTGATTGGAAGACAGTGGATGAATACCGAATTCCGAAGGTAGAATCGAGAATAGCTTTTGGGAAAATCGAATCGAAACTGGGAGTGGCGATGCAGAAAGTGTGGTCTGAGGTGTGTAGGGTGAATGTGGGTTTGCGACCAGGATCGGAGTTCCGTGGCTTGGCTACAAACGACCAGCTATGACTTTACCGTTTAGTCCATGATCATGCCCAACTCATATTGCGAAAGGGGAAACTCTTATCGGATTCCCGGACGGTATTTACCTATTGGTTCCACGGAGTGATCGGAAAGGATGCATCTCGAACAAACTGTAGAAAGATCGACTAACAGATGCCACTCGTAGCTCATTGTCTTGTGCATGTGATTGCATTTTGAGCACGGAAATATGTGCGTTGAGGTGCATAAAGCCATGCGGTATCCTCTATGCTGGATGCCGATTGCCAAGCAGGGGGACGATGGTGCCGCGGAGGGGGCTGATGGTCCGCGGACGTCAGAATGGCTAAGTATACAGTGGCGGATCATCACTGAAGCTGCTTGTAAGGTTACCCAACGAGAAAGCAGCAAAACTGTGTTTGTTCTGGTCTTGCCTCGGAGTAATTTCGTACGGCATGATTAGCCCTGCTATGAGCCTTGCTTGTAACTTGCGCCTGTGACTTCTGCCCGTTGCCCCTGCCCTGTCCTTTTTAGGGGCTCACAGGCTTTGCCCTGGCAGTGCGCTCAATAGATCGCTGATGAGTTCAAGTATCGAGTCATTGAGGTAATGAATATCTCTACTGCAATCAGAATCATAGTTTGCCTTCCTACTAAGCAGCCAACAGTCCAGAACATCCTTGACATAATCGAGTTCTGGCTGATAACGATCTCTAACTTGAGTTCTTAGTATTGCTATACAGCTTGCATCTAAAAGAACGCTACGATGAAGCTACATGAGCGCGTCTCATTAGTATACAACGTCTTTTTCACCTGTCTCTTACTATGTATTAGGGCAAAACAAGACCGATTGCAGTGCTATTATCGTTATCGTCTTGTGCACTGTCATGTTAACAAAGTTAATGCCTTATTCAGTCGTAGACACGGCCCAATAGGCCCCCTAATTTCGCAAGGAAGTCGAGGAATGTTTGGAGTGCGGGCCATTCTGTATTCTTACTGTACCCGCCTCGCCTATTTGGTGCATAAAGTTAAATCACATATTCTTACTGTACCGCCACACCTGTTTAGTGAATAATGTTGAGGCTTGAGTTAATAGAGTTAAGGCTTTGCGAAATACAATGGCCGTCGCGATTGGACGTGCATAGGAGTATGGGAGTAGGGAAAATATATAAGAGCATTGTTCTGCCTCTTCACAACAACAATCATAATCACAACCCTTCATACAATCATCACTTTCAAGCATATTACACCCCTTTACAAATATGAGCTTCTCTCTCAAAAGCATCATGCTATCCGCAGCGCTCGTGGCTCTTGCAGTTGCAACTCCTGTACCTGAAGCCAATCGTTACAACAATGGAATAGATATTACTCCATGCATTCCTGGAAAGTGCCCACCAACAAAATAGTACGTAAAGATCTAGGCATTTTGAAATATTCTTTACTAAGTCTCCTTAGAAACCAATAGCAGCAATCGTAATTACCGCTCTATCTGCACGGCTAGACATTGTATGGGGCTTCAAGCGTATAAGGCTATACACATTTTTATTCTACGTTAGATTCATCTTGAAATTAGTGATATAAATTTATACTAAAGTCTGTTTTCACATCAAAAAAATTAAGCTTCGTGTAGTAGTTGACAGATCAATAAGTGAGGATTGTAAGGACATCAATCAAATAACTCGTACCACCACAAGGCTTAAAATCTATCAAAATATATGGAGATGCCAAACCTAAGATACACAATCATTAATAATTGCGCCTCGGCCCAATGAGCGCTCAGCCAGCTGTTCAGACCTTGATCCATGCCGCGACACTTTGTGATAAGTATACTCTTCAACTTTGGCTTACACAGAAGTACCACTATAGAGTAATGTGCAGTACTATTTGAAAGATATGTTTACTTAATAATAGTATACGATAACTACATACAACCTCTGGAGGTGAAGATAGTGTTGCGGAAGGTATGATCAACACGAGCTTATGCGGCTGCCAAGAGCCTGGAATAACTAGTTTCCGAGACAATCTTTACGTGTATTTCTTAGAGTTAGTATGTTTTCTTGTTTAAGAAATAATCGGCTGATCTATTCCTTGGGTTATTCTTATAATAGCGCAACGTAAAAAACCCCAAAGAAGCAAAACAAGTGCCAACAACATGTATAGAGCGGTGATTGTGGTAGTAACCACCGCCTCAAGGCTAAGTACAGGTCGGGCGCCAAGGTGTCATACCCCATCAGGCTCGGCCATGACAGTTTTCTCTATCACAGATGGCTATTTCACTAGAGCTAGAGTGTCACGATACTCTACTATTAGACTTACTTACGAGGACAGCCCTCGGGACCCTATCAGGGACCTCTCAGGCCGGAAAGGCTACAAAACCGTGCATAGAGAATACAGTCTCTATTTAAACCTTAGGAGAAACCCTGAGAACTCGTCTCAATCCATACCATACTAGAATGCTTGCTGCTACCTGCTAAACTACGTCACATGCAGTTCTACTATGGCGCTAATGTCAGGCGTAGCCTATAGTAACTAGTCCATTTTGATAACTTCGTAAAGATGACTGTACTACAACACTTCCAAGATATATTATGCCTATTTAGTAGATACTCCCAAGACTCCATTGAACATAGCTGCTGATCGTAATTAGACACAAAGAGCAGTGATAGGCATGGAAGAGGTATAAAAGGATTGTCTGGCTACCCTCAACAAGAAAACATCCTGCTCCGCATATCACACGCCGACAAACTCATCAAAATGAAGTTCTCTTTTAACAGCATCCTCCTATCTGCCTTGGCGCTTGTCACTCTAGCAGCTGCAAGCCCTATACCCGAGGAAGCTGATCGTTACGGAACGAAAAATGGTGGTGGTATATGCATAAAGCCGAACAAATGTCCTTAACTGTACGTAATCACCAAGATGGCCCTCTAAAAACAACGACTATAGATCTACCGAGTTCTTTTGAAGGATGTGGCTAACTGGATTTCTATAGAAACATGTGATGGGGATGGTATATTCGTGGTCAATTTACGCAGCTAGACGATGTAATGGAATTCAAGTATACTGGGGGAAACGCTCTTCGCTGGAGCCCCTTTAAAGGACCTTAATGTGTAGTAATAGCTGCAATATCGCATTTACTCTTCACTTTTTACTTGATGCCATGAGTGATTTTAACATGTTGACCCAGCGGATCCCACAACGTAGCAGGACGTATGATAGGAGATGATAGTGAGGCACCACAACATTATCTTCTCTCAAACGGCCTACAACTGGATAAACTGCACTGCGTTAGCATATTCAAATATCTAATCAACAAATGTTTTCCACTCTGCTATTCATGATTCTGCTAAGAGCATCGAGTATCGCTTCAGCGAGTCTCCACTGCAGCAGCACCCCTATTACTCTCTCGGCTGAACCAAGATAAAAATCTAAACGCTCTATCGAGTCAGAATGTAGTCACGGGCTCCGCAGACGACAATGCTTGCGAAATGACAATTCTAAGCATGACTTCGTAAAGAAGGGGTTTCTCAGCGTGGAAAGCCTCGGCATTCCAATCTGACATAGATCAGCGCGGTTTTATACTCAAACCAGATTGTTCTAGACAATACCTTTCTAAGCACTATGCTACTTTAAGAATAGCTGGGCTACAAAGTTTGTTGTTGTTAATACTACTTACGGTTGCTTGTATCCTATTATTGATGTCTGATTGTGATAGGGTTAGTGCCTCTACCGCTTCATACTTGTCTCTCGCCTAAATTCTCTTTCCTACTCCGCTTACAACAACTACTCATTCCTTAAGCAACTATTCTTACTTGACCTATTTCAATGCTATTTATATATTGCATAGCTACTGATAAACTTGATGCATCTCTGTTGCGTATCATGAGTCTTTTATTATGAAAATAGCGCTGTTAGCACGTCAAAATCACTCATAATATAACAACAATTCTCTCAGAGTTGCTGACTTAGGTTCATTGAGCCTAGCCACTTGGGTCTGGCCCCGGATAGTAGCGGGAGCTTTGTCCTGGCAGTGACGTTGAGGAGATCACGCACAGGAGATTGCGTACGAGATGAAGTATCGATTAAGCATGACAGGGAGTATTTTTAATTATAATCATCTTGTACACTGCCTTTTTCGTGGAAGTGATAGCTATATTAGTTGTATACTTTAGCCAAGCAGGCTTTCTCATGTTGGCAATACATTTTGACGCCGATGTACTGCTTACTCTACTAATATTTACGACAAGTGTCACGCGTATTCGGCCTTACATGGTAGTATTTCCGAAGGCGAACAAGTAGAGAACCGAGTAAGTGAGTAAGAACAGTATTTAATAGGAATA